AGACCCATTTTAGGGAAGCACAAAACAAAGAGGATCCAGCAGCCAGCCCAGGCCCTTTGCCAAATCTTGCCGGCATGGGTGAAACGGAGGGCAGAAGACAGACCTGATTACGCCCAGGAACGAGCACGTAAGGCCGGAAACCCCACAATGGTCCCAGCACCCGAGGCGACGGCCGATGGTGCGGGAGGTTTTGATCGCTGAGGGCGTTCTGTACCTCCCAGGATCAGGAACATAAGGAAGCACAAGAGGCAAATTTCTCCTCTCAGACCCACGTGACGGGAGCTGGCTTCAGATATTCTGTTCTCTCTGCGTGGTCTGATCTCCCCCTGGCTAGTAAACTCCAGCCACGCTATGGGGCAGGGAGGAGGGGATTTTGCACCAGTTCTATGGGCTGTCTGGCCGCCCGCCTCCTCCCTCCTTTCCCCGATGAAATATATTTACCCGAATAGCCGGCTGTCTGCATCAGCACGCCTAGGTTTACCGACTGGATTCCAGCCTGCCAAGCAGAAGGGAGAAGAGACAAAACTTAGTGCAGATGGGATGGAGAGAAAGACATTGTTAGTGTGGTGCATGCAAGTTGCTGCCAATGCAGACTCAGAGCTGGTCATCTGTGTGTCATAAGCCCCGTACTGCTAGCAGCTAATGGAGATTCTCCTGGGGCTCAATCAATGAGAGGCAAATGAGCCAGCAGCAAACTTGATAGCTGGGAACTCCTAGGTTCCAGTCCCAATCCCTTACTGTACACATTAAATGACTAAACCATGCTGCTTTACTGCATCCTCCACATGCAGCTGGGATGAGATGAGGCTTACCTGGGTGGTTGACAAATGCCTTTGATGTCGACACCCGCGCGTCCAGACTACCGCGCTGAGCCGACAAACAGCTGATCAGCTCAGCGTGGCAGCCATGTAAATTTAAATGAAGCGGCGATTATTTAAATCACCGCTTCATTTTCCTATGCCTGGTAGCCTAATCTACATGCCTCTGGCGACAGAGGCTTGTAGTCTAGACGTACCCGTAGAGACTAACAATAATAGATAGGCTCATGAGCTTTCACGGGTAAGACCCACTTCATCAGATGAACTGAAAAAACACCCAGTAGTCTGGTAGCACTTTATAGACTAACAAAACACGTCGATGGAATCATGAGCTTTCGTGGGCACGGCCCACTTCTTCAGACGAAGAAAGCCCACAAAATATCATGATCCCCTCGACATGTTTCGTTAGTCTATAAAGTGCTACCAGACTATTGGATGTTTTTTCAGTTTAGTTTCGTTAACTAACTCGGCTACCCCCTGAAGCTTTCCATCAGATAAGATGGAGTGGAAATTACAGAATCCAAGAGCTCTCTAGAACAGCAAAAGAAGTACTTGTCCGCTCTTAATGAGGCTAATTGAGCAGGCTGGATGTGTCCTATTCATAGCTTCTGATATGAAAATGCGGATGTTCAAAGCAGGGGAACTTGGCTTTGTAATGCGTTAACCAGGCCATGTCTTTGTTCAAGCTGTAACAGTGTCAGATTTGTAGATGTGTTCCAGACTCTCCGTAATAGGGCGGTGAAACTCCTTTGTAGAACGGCTACTTTACAGAGATTGGTGGAGGCAGCCTAGAAAAGCTGAATCTGGCTGGCGGGATCACACCCCCGACTCCTCCCGCCGCATGGTCAAAATGAACCACTGGCCTCGTCGGATGGGGACGGGGGCTGGGAACTGGGATCATCTGCTCCCTCTGATTGGCCCTCCCTGCTGAAGGAGGTATCCAATCACAATAGGAGCCACCCATCCCTCTTCCAAGCCCACCCAAGCGGTCAGCACCCCACGGCTGCCACATGGCACAGAGATGGGCACCTCCGAGCCCCCGGGCTAGCCTGCGGCTCTCTCATTGGTCCTCCCGTGGGTGGGTGCATCCAATCAGGACACGGGCCGCCCCTCCCCTCCCCGCTCACCTGCTCTCCTCCCCTTCCAGCAGTTTGCTGTAGGTGGCGATCTCGATATCCAGGGCCAGCTTGAGGTTGGCCAGCACGTGGTACTCCTGCATCTGGCGAGCCATGTGCTGCTTGGCCTTCTGCAGGGCCTGCGTCGTGCTCTGCAGCTTCACCGTCACGTCAGCCACCGACTG